CATGTCATATACAGAGGCAGTCTTGATTTACGGAACTGATCCAGGCAGATTGTCAGCCGATTTGTATCATCATCTTGTAGCAGGGTTCCATTGTATTGCTTGGCATGCCAGATCGGAGATCACAGCTAGGAGCATGGTCTTCTTCTTCTGCCTTCGACATCAGTCATGCTAAACAATGAGTCCCGTCTGGGTCAAAAATAGGATTGTGCGTTTAAGGTCGCCACCGGTCCCCCATAGCTTCTCTCGCAATGTGGATCCACTGGGCCAGATCCACAGTCTTTGCTGGGAGAGGTAAGGAAATACTTCAGTGTCACTAATATTATGGGCCCCATCTTCCTGCTGGTCGACCCCTGCCCATCTTTCCTGGCACCATATCTTCTACTACTATAGTTTTCTATCAACCGAGTCGCTTGGAATGACCAAAATATTTCAGTTTTAAATAAAAAGAAAAAAAGGATGCTGCCTAATAGCCAATCTCTCTTGAAGTTTAGATATTTTAGTATGTTAGTTTTTTTTTTCTTCTTGCTCCATGGTATTCTGAAAATCTTTTTATAGCTGTTCAGTTCAAAACCTCTATTTTCGTCCTTAATGACTGAGAAATGGTCCATGACTCACCTCCCTATGTTGCTTTACGGAAGATACATGCCCTCAAAGATTTGCCACTGATATCCTTGTTGGCCAAAACACGTAAACCCTTTAAAAAAGGAAGTGAAGTTAATACAAAAGACAACGTAGAGGTTTATTTTAAGTGTAACATTTTTAAAAATAAAGTATTCAACAAAGTAACAATCCAAAGTGATAGTTAACGCCTCGCTTCAGAGGTCCTGGGTAACTTGCAGCCTATGGATATTTCCCCCTAGGATATGCCTTGGGAAATGAACAGGCAGCTATGTTGGCTGGTTTAAAACCACTTTGTGGTGAATTGGTGCTTGTCAAGCTAGACGTCCTTTTGAAGCTAGTAAACATTGCGGAAGCACAAAAAGTTCATCACGGTCTAATGAGAACGAGTTTGTGAGGAACGACGCGGGAATATGGTCGACACTCAACGAAAATGGTTTTGCGAGGAGTGATGAGAGGATATGGTCAAAACACAACATACAGGGGAGGGGCGAGATGGACCTGCAATCAGACTGTTACTGGGGCTGTTGGACTATAACTGCGCTTGCTGCTGAAGATTGGGAGTGGAGCGTTTACAGGGAAGTCCCGACTCATATGTCGGTTCGAAACTTTTAACAACCCATTTCTTTCTTTCTTGGTCTTCCCCCGCCTCGTTCTGCTGTAAAAAAGTATCATATGCAGTTTGCTCTGACTGCATCACTAAATGGCCGAACCATTTCAGTCTTTATATGTCAGTATAATTCCGACACGGTCTTTTTCCAACTTTCTCTCCGATGCTGGTATTCATAGCCCTGCGCATTCTTGTGTTGTTAGTGAACTTACGGGGACAACGCATTTCATTTTAGGTTAGTTGCGTATCCTTTACAGGACGTTGCAGAACCAACCCCAACAGCCCCTGGCTGTTGTGTGGGTTTTCTAGGCACATTTACGCCCAATAGTTTGCCATTGCTTCCTGGACGGTCGGCTGTCTTGATACCACTGTCGAAACCAACGCAAGGCGCATGGCCCGCAGCTGGGATCGAACCTGGCATCCCGGCATTATGAAGCATTCGCATCGACTTAGCCACAGAGCCGACTGCATTTCATTTTACAGGTAGTTAATTTGTATAGTTAGTTAGTTAGTTGGGTTATCCTCATTGCACTCCGGACATGTCCATATGTGCTCAGATCCTCCCCTCAGTATGAACCCCAACGTCCGATGGCTAATAGTACCAGTTCTATGTTGATTAACAAGTCTTCTGGTGTGTCTGGTGTGCGTCTCGTTTTTTGCTGTACCGATCTTAATTCCCAAGTCTGCCATTCTGGCGAGTGAAGTTAATTTGTATTCTAGTGCCTTATTAGAGTCTTAATTCTTCACTCGTAACAATTCAGTTATTTGGCTAATGAGGGCTATGGCAATTATGATCGTCCCCACTTAACATAATATCGCATGATAACGACGATGAGAGAAACAAACTTCAGATCGACCCTAATCGATGCATCCCAAACAAGTGATTTATTTCCGGTAGCAACATTTGTTTGATGGGTCCACGTTATTCATACGTTGGTTTAACGAGGACGTTATCGATACAGCGGGTGTGTGATAATCCACAGACAGCGGCTTGCTTAACCTAGATATGGTTACTATTGGTGACAGCTGCTATAATGCGTTTCAAAAGTTGTGCTTCCACGCACTTTAACTAATATCTCAGGAAAACTTATGTAAGGATCAACACGAATTTTTGCATTATATTTCCTCCGTCCTTGCTTTTATAATTTTGCAGTTGCAGAGGTGCTGCTGTTTTCCTAAAGCGGCGAATTTCTTTGATCTTTTTGACTAATAATTGGGTACCCCTAAAAAGGGAATAGCGGCATCCATGGCTTAGGCGTTGCGAGTTCTACTCGTAATTCCAACGTACTGCGATCGAAACCCACTGCTGGCTGTGTGGATTTTTATCATGGTATGGGCCGTCCCAGGTCGACCCAGCCTAAAATGGGTACCAGTATGTATGTCCTGGGGAAGTAAAGACGGCCGGCGTAATACTGACCACATTACCCACCTAGTGCCGATAAGTCTGTAAAAATATGGGTGCTATTCCCATATGCCCAATGCGCTTAAAGGCGTGAAAAGGCATCTTTACTTTACTTACTTTTAAAAGGGAATATAAGGTAACTGACACAGGCTGGAGAGATAAGGTTTAGATTTAGGTCCAGACAACGGATCAACATCATGGCACAAAGGTAGCAACCCATAAGTGCTCCGTTCTACTTCTAACTCAAGCCTGAGTCCGAAGAATCTCAGCGCAGCGCATTAACTCCCTAGCACCGGCAAGGATCCTGAAATACTTTGTTTAGATTTAGCTCAAAATTTTGCCCGAGCAGCGCCGTTACGCTACTCTTTTTCAATTTCAAACTGCCATAGTATTTTTTACGTGCTCGACAATACACACGGGCGTCCGATTTTACTACTCATAGACCAGGGAAATCATTAGAAGCCCACGTGAAAAAAAATCCCAGCTTTCACCGGGGCTTGAACGGACGCCATGCCTCGAGACCATGGGGGATTATGTATAGCGATGAGGTGTTATCTTTTTGGTAGCCTGTCCCGCATACAATAAAAATGGTGTTAACTCGAGGAAGGCTAATGCTGGAGATGACTACCTGAGAGTTAAACGCCAACAAAACGTGTGCAATTTGGATGTTTTGTAAAGTTTTAGTTACTCGTCTCACCATTAGCTTGCTGACTGTTTGTTTTGAATCTGTCTTTTTTTTTTTTTTTATATGCCTCAAATCAGACAAAATGAAATCTGAATGATTGTTTACTAAAAACAAAAACAAAACAAAAACATATTTCACAAGGACATGATTATTTATAGGTTGCATTTCAACAACTTTGCACTCAACGTTTACTGGATTACAGATTTTTAAAGTCGGAGAGAACTTCTGGAACGGACTGTAGAGGTCATTGGCTCTTGTTTGATATGAGGAACAATAGGGTTGTTGTTGATCAAGCTGTTTTCAGATGTTGCACTTTTCCGAACTTCTTGTATGTGTTACCAGCGGTGTAGGTTTTTTTTGTTTGCCCGTGTTTGTTTTGCACGTACTTTAGGAAACAATTTAGGAGGTGAGATCATTAAACATGTTGTTCTTGTTTTGTTATTGTTGCTCTTAATAGAAATAACGGGTGAGAGATAGAAAGGATGAAATATGGCGTACAAGAAAGATACAAGGAAAGGGGGAGGGGGAAGCCACACACACACAAAAAAAGAAAGAAAGAAAAGAAGCCAGATAGCAAACATGAAAGATAGAACAGAAGAAATATATACATATTCAAAATAATATAGAGGAAAAAAATAAAAACACGAGAAACGAAAAGAAGAGAGAAAGCAAACAAGAAAGACAGAAAACAAGAAAGATAAAGAGAAAACATATAGCATCCAGCACAGTTAGAAAGAGAAAGAGAGAGAGAGAGAGAGAGAGAGAGAGAGAGACAGAAAAAGAAAGGAAGCAAGATAGCACAGAGGAAAGACAGAAATGAAAAAAGATAGCAAACATAAAGGATAGACAGAGAAAACGACAGCACCAAAACAGTTAGAAAGAGAGCAAGAAATGTAGCAAACACGAAAGACAAAAAGAACGAACAAACAGCGCAAGTAAAACAGCGAAGTTAGTCAATAAAAAACAACTGGAAACGAGAATTAAGCCGACACAATTTCTAAAACCCATTTTTACCACGGCTCCCTCCAGAATCTCATGTCTATATCAGTCAATTATTGATCAGATCGATTCCTGTAAAACAGAGCCGGCTGCTATTTTTGGGATGGCTGAATGTAGTTAGTGAAAGTGTGAAGGCATACAAATTTTATCAGTGGCGTAGTTATGTTAGGTTCGTCTTTACATTTAAATGAGGGTTGAGTCTTGGGTGGCGAGACATGGGTGATAGATTTCCCTGATTATCACAGTGTTACGAATTGTGAGACAGGAAGTTGATACCATTTCGTGAAAACAAGATTTTAAAAGGTACAGTCAAGTGTTTGACAGAGTATAAATTTAAGACGCTACATTCACTGCATTTCTCCCCCCCCCCCTTCCCGTGTAGGTTGCACAGCACCATTGAGGGGAAACCAATAATAGACCCACTGCCTGCCCAACAAGCATGTCGTAAGAATCGACGAATTCAGAGCTTCCTTCAAAGTCGAAGTACATCTACCTAAGCAAAAAGGAACCGACAGTCTGCATACGAACAATCTTTTCCTGGCCTGACATCGCAGGGCATTCCAGTAGTAGAGAATAGAAGAAGAGGAAGAATAACGATAATATTGATTGTGATGATGGTTATGATGAACCTGTTCCGGTTTTGATTCATTCCAAACAGATCTCAGAAGCATGACCTAACACCCACAATGAACATCTTACAGCGGGAAAGAGAAATTGACAGAAAACTCCAGAAAGACAAACTTGAACCATACAAGACAGAGCTACGGTTGGAGGTAATCGCACGACGCCGGGAGCTCACTCGAGTGCACTTTCTGCGAAGGGAAAGAACCGAAGAAAGGCGGGCCCTGAAATCGACCCAGGGAAGTGTGGTTACTATAGATACAAACAAAGCGCGCAGCAACACCGATGTCGTCCGATTGGCGGTTAGGGATCTTGGCTGGAGAGAAGTAACGTACACTGTGTTTTGTGGTACCTGTATCTGCTACAGCTGCTGCTTTTATACAGCAACTGCTGCTGTCACTGTACATCAACTATTACTTCTGCTGCTACTACTATACAGAAGCTATTAGGTTGGTAGGTATTTGTACCCCACCAGGACATCACACAAGCGATAAACAGGCGGTGACACAAAGTGCCATAATGCGGATGAGGATCACCCGTGGAGAGGTCCCAAAAAACCCTTTCAGCCGTGAGGCCATGTTCATGGCCCGGCTATACTCAGGACCCCCGACAAAAGCCAGGGTGGGGCTTCAAATAACACAGAATTGCATCCCACAAGGGGACGACTATTAGAAACTATTACTGCTGCTGCTGCTTTTATACAGCAACTGCTGCTGCTGATGCCACTGTTCAGCAGCTATTACTTCTTCTGCTACCACTATACAGCAGCTATTACTTCTTCTGCTACTACTATACAGCAGCTATTACTGCGGTTGCTACTACTTTACAGCAATTATTTCTGTTGCTGCTACTACCACGAATAAAATTAATACCACTGATACTGCTGCAACTACTACTGTTTCTACAACTGTTACTTCTATTGTTCATGTTACCACAACTACGAGAGTTTCTCTAGCTGCTGTTGCTAATACTATTATCTTTTACAACAACAACTACTTATATTACTACTGCTGCTGCTGCTGCAGCTGATACAACAACAACTACTACTTCTGCCACCAACGCCATCCCCACCACCACCATCACCATCACAACTACTACTTCTACTACTATTAACACCACCACAACCACAAACACCACCACCACCACCACAACCACTACTACTACTACCACCACTTCTACTACTACTACTACTACTACTACTACTACTACTACTACTACTACTACTACTACTACTACTACTGCTACTACTACTACTACTACTACTACTACTACTACTACTACTGCTACTACTACTACTACTACTACTACTACTACTACTACTACTACTACTACTACTACTACTACTGCTGCTGCTGCTACTACTACTACTATTACTAATACTATGACTACTGCTATTACTACTACAACCACAACAACAACAACTACTACTACTACTACAACCACCACCACCACCACCACCACAATCACAACCACCACTACTACTACTACTATTACCACTACTACCACTACCACCACCATAAATAATACTACTACTACTATTACGACTACTTCTACTACTACTACTACTACTACCACCACCATTACAACCACGACTACTACTGCCACCACTACTACTACCACCACTATCATCACAACCACTACTACTACTACTGCCACTACTACTACTACTACTACTACTACTACTACTACTACTACTACTACTACTACTACTACTACTACTACTACTACTACTACTACTACTACTACTACTACTACTACTACTACTACTACTACTACTACTACTACTACTACTACTACTACTACTACTACTACTACTACTACTACTACTACTGGGAGCCGCTGTGGTGTAACGGCTCGACGCCTATCTGCGGACCAGGAAGGTCGTGGGTTCGGTTCTTGACGTAGCTAAACCTATTGTTCTTTTGGTCTCACCACTTCTGGTACCACTACTACTACTACCACCACAACCACAAATAATACTACTACTACTGCCACCACCGCAACCAACACAACAACAACTACTACTACTACTACTACTACTGCTACTACTACTACTACTACTACTACTACTACTACTACTACTACTACTACTACTACTACTACTATTACTACTGTTACGACCTCTATTGATCCTTCTGCTGTCGTTATTACTACTACTATAGCTACTATTACTACTGCCACTGCTGCTGCTACTACTACTTCTACTACTGCGACTGCTGCTGCTGCTGCTACTACTACTTCTACTACTGCCACTGCTGCTGCTGCTACTACTACTTCTACTACTGCCACTGCTGCTGCTACTACTACTTCTACTACTGCCACTGCTGCTGCTGCTACTACTTCTACTACTGCCACTGCTGCTGCTACTACTTCTACTACTGCCACTGCTGCTGCTACTACTTCTACTACTGCCACTGCTGCTGCTACTACTTCTACTACTGCCACTGCTGCTGCTACTACTTCTACTACTGCAACTGCTGCTGCTACTACTTCTACTACTGCCACTGCTTCTGCTGCTACTACTTCTACTACTGCCACTGCTGCTGCTACTACTACTTCTACTACTGCAACTGCTGCTACTACTACTTCTACTACTGCCACTGCTGCTACTACTACTTCTACTACTGCTACTGCTGCTGCTACTACTACTACTTCTACTACTGCCACTGCTGCTGCTACTATTACTTCTACTACTGCCACTGCTGCTGCTGCTACTACTTCTACTACTGCCACTGCTGCTGCTACTACTTCTACTACTGCCACTGCTGATGCTACTACTTCTACTACTGCCACTGCTGCTGCGGCTACCACTTCTACTATTGCCACTGCTGCTGCTACTACTACTTATACTACTGCCACTGCTGCTGCTACTACTTCTACTACTGCCACTGCTGCTGCTACTACTTCTACCACTGCCACTGCTGCTGCTGCTACTACTTCTACTACTGCCACTGCCACTGCTGCTACTACTACTTCTACTACTGCCACTGCTGCTGCTACTACTTCTACTACTGCCACTGCTGCTGCTACTACTTCTACTACTGCCACTGCTGCTGCTGCTACTACTTCTACTACTGCCACTGCTGCTGCTACTACTTCTACTACTTCCACTGCTGCTGCTACTACTTCTACTACTGCCACTGCTGCTGCCACTACTTATACTACTGCCACTGCTGCTGCCACTACTTCTACTACTGCCACTGCTGCTGCTACTACTTCTACTACTGCCACTGCTGCTGCTACTACTACTTCTACTACTGCCACTGCTGCTGCTACTACTACTTCTACTACTGCCACTGCTGCTACTACTACTTCTACTACTGCCACTGCTGCTACTACTACTTCTACTACTGCCACTGCTGCTACTACTACTTCTACTACTGCCTCTGCTGCTGCTACTACTTCCACTACTGCCCTTACTATAACAATTAATACTATTAATACAGCTACTACTGCTGCTGCTGCTTCTACTGTTGCTTCTACGACACCATTTGTGCATAGCTAGACCACTGTTAATATCGGTTGACGATAATAAACTGCGTCAATGAAATGTTAGTTAGATAAGACATCGTCTTTTCCTCCTTTTTCACCACCACTACCTACATCTCTTCTTCTTCTTCTTCTTCTTCTTCTTCTTCTTCTTCTTCTTCTTCTTCTTCTTCTTCTTCTTCTTCTTCCTCTTCTCATTCTCTTTTTCTTATTTCTTTTTCTTGTTTTTGTTGTAGGTATATATGTTGTTTAACCCCAACAGGACTGTAAAACGAGTGACCAACACCTGGTGACACAAGGTGCCATCATTCGGATGATGATCACATGGGCACAAGTCCCATAAACCCCGTTCAGTCGCTTGGCTAAATTAGGCCCTCGTCAATAGCTGAAGTGTGCCTTAAAATAACGAAACATTGTGTCCCATATAGAGACGGTAACTACTGACTTCTTTATTTTTTCTCGCCCTTGTTTTACAACATTTTGCCGAAGTCATATCATCTCCTTACATAAAAATTTACTAGTACTATTTATCAATTAAGAAAGAAAACGACCGAAAATCCCAGAACGACCGAAAATTCAGAGAGGACAGATCATCCCAAAACGACCTGTTAGACCCATACAAAACAGAACTTCTTTGGGAGGTCATCACTAGGCGAAGGAAGCTAACTCGTCTGCCTATGCTGAAAAAGGGAAAGAAGTGAAGAAAGGCGAACACCAGAAGCCAACCAAGGAAGTGTGGTTACTATAGATACAAACAAAGCTCGTAGTAACACTGATGTGGTACGATTGGCTGTCAGGGACCTTGGCTGGAGGGAAGTATGTAGAGTGTGTGCAGGATTTCTATTCACTGACAAATTAATACTGCTACCATTGCTGCTGCTGCTGTTGCTCTGTTCACTTTGTTACTGCTGCCTTTAGAATAACAAACACGTCTTCTTCTTCTTCTTCTTCTTTTTCTTCTTCTTGTAATCTACTACTACTGCTACTACTACTACTACTACTACTACTACTACTACTACTACTACTACTACTACTACTACTACTACTACTACTACTACTACTACTACTACTACTACTACTACTACTACTACTACTACTACTACTACTACTACTACTACTACTACTACTACTACTACTGTTGCTGCTGCTGCTGCTGCTACTACTACTACTATGTCTGATGCTGCTGGTTTCGTCGCTGCGTCTGTATGCTGCTGCTGCTACTACTGCTGTTGCTGCTGCTGCTATTAGTGCTTCTGCTGTTGTTATTGCTACTACCATTATTACTACTACTGCTCCTGCCTCTCCTGCTGATACTACTACCACCACTACCACTACTACTGCTGCTATTGCTGCTACTAAAACCTCCACCACTACAACCCCTGCATATGTATCTGTTGTTCTTGCTGTTGCTAATGCTGCTGCTACCACTACTACTGATACTGTTGCTGCTAACAATAGTATTACTTCCACCACATCTTTTGCTTCCACTAGAAAGTACTACCCAACAAAACAAAAAAAACTACTACTACTAATACTACTACCCAATCACATATTACTACAATTAATATCAATGTAAGAGTAGTGTTACTACTAACATTCAAAATAATAATACTAACAGTACTTTATTATATATTAAAAATGAAGAACAATTTGTCGACCTTATCGTACTAAGAAATAGGCCGAGAGCTAAGATAGAAGAAAATATGTGAGAAATGAAAGATAAGGTAAAAGTATCATCACCATCAAGTGCTTTGCCAGTTGGCGTAGGCGTTCAAGTTTCTCCATAGCAAATCATTTCTCTTGGTCTACCTCTGCCTCTAC